CTGTGTAATATGTGTGAAATCTTTTATTTTTGTTATCACTATGGCCATTTGACTTATAGCAGTGTCCAGTGTTTCCTATACATTGAGTTATTTGTGACGGCTCGTCACAATATCAAAACTGACCGCCACAAATCGATTTTCCAAAAGGCTTATACTTCGTTGAATAAAATGAGCGCTTCACGTTTCAAAATTAAAATGCAGCGCGGGTGTTTTTTATATGAATGTATCTTTGAAAAGAACCGACTGTCTTCAGAAAAGCTTCGATGTAATTTTCATTTCGTCTTTCCTGTAATGCCTGATAATAGCGTTTGTGAGCAGCTTATTTGATTACAGCCGTTACTGGGGAAACCGCTATATCTCCAGCTCCCAAAGCGCCTCCTGCTGGCAGAGAATTAATTTGCAGTCTCTTGGAAACACTGGTGTCTGTCAGCAAACATAAACAAAAAGCATCCTTCAGAACTGTTTTGAGAAAGTGCTTAAGTTTTGAGCCATGTATTATTACTCTAAATTGGGCTACTACTACCATTACTATCTTGTACCCTGCAATAATCATTTAATCAAACTCACTTTTATGAGATGAATGGGGGAAAAAAAGAAAATCGGCCAAAAAAATCGGCATCATATATCGGCCATCGGCTGCCCGGATTTCAAAATATCTGCATCGGCCAGTGAAAAACCCATATCGGTCGACCTCTGTAACTAGTTGCAGAATGCGCAAGGTAGGGGTGTGCGATATATATTGTCTGCGATAATATCGTAATTGTTGTTTTAACGATGTGTGATTTGACATTTATGGAGTATTTTGCAAAAACCATTCAAAACACACCTACAGAATGCACGCATGCATTACGTGAAGTCTAGTTCAATACAAGAAGTTTATTAAGAGACTTACGTTTTAGACACCATATTGGCTGTTTTTCGCTAACAAAAATAATTCCAGCCACAGCACTGTTTTGCATGTCTGCGCAATATGACGGAGTTTCGTTCCTGAATGAATCAACCGTTTAAATGATTCGGTTCAATAGCAATGACTCACTTATTTAAAGTGACTTGCTGCCACCTACTGGCGGTTTTAATTTCACATTTAAAGAATCTTTTTATTATTTAAATAATTTCAAATATCAGAATTCAACATTTTATGTTTAATAGATCAAAATATTATGTATGCATTTGTAACTGCAGGTTAAATGCATTCATGTCCTACATTGAACAGTGTGTAAATCAGGGGCGCTGCTAGGATTTCACCCTCACGCTTAGCCCTCAGAGAGACCATTAGATACAATGATACAAATTACCTAAATAAACAGTATTTTACAGTGCTTATAAAAACTGTATTACTGGATGAAGTAAATATACACAATTGCCTATTACAGTTATACGATCTATCACAGCGCGTGAGTACCACATTGAGATCTCTTGTGCCATCTTGATAAACTTTCTTGAGGAAGCAGCACTGGCCTGATCATTCAAATAGCTGATTATAGTTTTAGGGGGGCTGAGATGACAAATAGGGGGGCTGAAGCCCAGCTAAAAAGGGTCTAGAACCACCCCTGGTGGATTCTAGACTCCACTGGATTCCACTTCAGATGCAGCTTCTGGTGTTTCCTCTGCATTGCAAAGGGGAATTTTGTTGATACTGATTTCATTTGCTTGGTAACAAACCAAATGTCGTATTATTCTAATTCACTGATTAAATGTAAGAATTTGACTCAAAAGACAATGCACACTTTTAGAAGCAAAAGGCTTTATAATAGTAAAAATGCCCATAAAAGGTAAAAATCAATTTAAACTTATTGAAAAAGATTCATTTCTATCAGTGTGAACTGACCACCACACAGAATATGAAGAATATCAAAAATAATAGGAGTTAGTTTAAGATACCAGCACAATAACACACTCCGCAAAATATTGTCTAATTATCGTTATCGATAAAATCCCAGAAAATATCGAGATATTATTTTTTGTCAATATCGCACACCCCTTGCGCAAGGTTCATGGTGCATGTCATTCAGATGGACCCTTCCTATCTCAGGGTGTCCGCGGGGTCTTAAAAAGTATTAAAAGTTGATAAATCAATTTAGAGAAAATTAAGGCCCTTAATAAGTATTAAAAAGTCTTAAATGCCATTTTCCAAGGTATTAAATTTTGTATCATCTTTTCATTGTGTATATTTGTCCGAATAGTGGGGTTCTGTGTTGTTTATTTATGGAATCCTGCAAGATTTGACGTCATCTGTTACAGTGCTCACTGACTGACTGTGCTGCTGCGTGATAGCGCGGGGCTTGTTGATCCCGCTCTCGCTGAATTTCTGACCATTACCGCACGCTCCCATCCGCTCCCTCGATTTTTGTTTGCGCTCCCGCAAACATTCTAATATTCTATATTATTTTCACACATCAGGGCGCCGCTATCAATATGTGGCGTATTTAAACCCTTTTTGAATGAGCGCTAGCAGTCGCAGATCACTTTCACTTTCGATATCGCGATCGCGCACGCAATGTGTAAAGGGAGCACATCTTACGATAAAAGATATTTGTCAATGAGCTCGGGATCTGTTGAGGAGCAAATCCTCCAACATCTTTGTCAGTTATCTCTCCTTACTTTTGACCCGTGATCAGTCAAATCTGACTTCTGCAGCTCGTGTTGGATGCAGGGTTGTTGTTGTTGTTGTTGTTTTTTTCCATGAAATTGGTCTGCTTTTAAACTGTTGCCATGGGTTGACTTTCCCCAATGGGTTAAAGGTTTGAAATATTGCATAAATTACATTTGGTTGAAATGCTTGTACTGAAACATTTTGCATTCTACCTGTAATAAAACTGTGCTAAATGTTTTGGGCCACACTAGTAGGAAGCATTTGAGCTGTGTTTATGATAAATGTGCATAACAGTGACTGTAAAATATGTATTTTAGGGATGAAAATTACATTTTTATATTTGGGACATAATTGCGCTACTTTGGGCTGTTTTTTTATTTTATTTTTACTGGCATGAGCTTGGAATGCACAATTAAAATGATGTAATAGTTGTGATCATTATTTTACCTTCCATGATCATTCAGACACGATCAGGTGCAGTACTGACACTCTGTCAAGTCTGCATCAAATCAAGCACTCCGTAATCACAGGTAAACTGTCTGATCAGTCAGATGTTTGTCATGAGAAGTGTTCCACAAAACAGCTATGGTTTGAGTTGATGTGACAAATACATCTTTTGAATATACTGTGTGAACTCATTGCCCGTTAGCTCGGAGAGCTTTATTTTCCCTCCTCAATAAGTTTTGTCAGTTGTTTTGTTTATTGGTCTAATTCTTGTTTCTTGGGTTGCATTGGTTAGTCACTCAATTAATTATCGTGTGCTTCATTCCCCACTTCTGAATTGTTGTATTGATAAGGAGTTATCACAAAGTAAGTCTGTTTAGTTGTGCTATCTTACAATCAATATATAGTAAATGTAAGTTAAAGTGTCGCCGATGTAATCGGTTAAAACTTGGAGTGGCGATGAGGTCTTAAAATGTATGGGAAGAGTCTTAAAAAAGGTCATAAAAGGTATTAAATTTAACTCCATGATTCCTGTATATACCCTGTATCTAATTTGGCTTCCTTGGCCAGAATAGGGTGCAGTTTAAACAATTCAAATGTGCTTCTAGGACATGTATTCTTCTCCTCAGACCCCATATAGTGACCGTGCAGTGGTTGCTGGACAGTTTCTCCCGTGGTTCCTTGCTCCCAGAGGATGACTACTTTCACCCCTCCTTTCTGCCCCCTGCCCCAGCCGCTGTTGATATGCCTGCTCCTCACAAAGCTGCCCCCCGCGCCTCCAGACCCTCTGTAGCTCCCCCTCCTGCCCCTAGTCCAGGCCGACAAGCCAGAGCAGAGGAAGACCTGCTTTCACAGTACATGGAGAATGACCAGACTGTGGGTGAGTTGATACATATTTAAACCCTCCTCTGTCTACACCTGTCTGTCTCCCTTATGCTTCTCTGCCTGTCTTTCCCGTAGTGGAGCTGCCTCAGGCCACTAATAGTACCAGCAGCAGGCAGAGTGTTTTGCTTCCAGAGCCTCCACCTGCAGTAAAGGACTCCACCTTGGTTGAAACCTCAGTGGGTGGACTTTTTGCAGGGAAGCGTTTTATCTTGGTTGGTTTTGGAGCTGAGTCTGAAGCGCAACTCTCAGAGCTAGTCATGGAAAATGCTGGGAAGATCTTGGTCGGCCGCTCGAGAGCTGTGGCGCATTATGCCATCGTGCCACTGCTGGGCTGTGATGTGGAGGCCACAGTAGATGAGGTTGCGACAGATACCTGGCTGGTAAGAAAGATACGTTTGAGTCTATGCACAGGCAGGATACTTTTTGTGATGTTTATTTATTACTAATGGACTGTTTGTGTGTGTATGTGTTCAGGCCATGTGTGTGGAGCAGCAGTGTGTTTTGCCACTACCCTCTCATCCTCTGTTCACTCCAGTAGCAGTGAGAGAAGGCTTCTCTCCTCTCAAAGACTGTGTGCTGTCCGTCAGTCAGTTCACTGGAGCTGAGCGAGAGTCTCTCATTCAGCTTGCCAAACACCTGGGAGCGAGGTAAGACCTTTTGCTCATAGTCCTCACCATCTAGGTAATTTCAAGTTTTATGTCTTCCTCAGTATTTTTGTCTTGTTTTCCAGTACAGATATCTAAACATCCTTAAATCAAGATACATTTACTTGAAATGCAAAATGAACATGTCTTTTTTCTTAACAAAATGAAGTAAACTTATCTTTAAAGGGGTCATGAACTGAGAAACCAAAATTCCCTTGATATTTTGACATATAAGAGGTCATTGTACTATAAAAACATCCTGTACATTTCAGAACTCAAAACTTTCTTGTTATTCTAAAAACGGCTTATATTGAAGCCAATCTGCCAAAATGACAGGTTGTAGAATGCGTCACTCTATGATGTAATAGTGTGGCGAAACACTTCCTCTGCAGAAGAAGATCAACACCTACTTCTACATCACTGCCTGTTTAGCCCCACCCACCGATTCGCACATGTAGTGTAAATAATGAGAGGTAAACACAGGTCTATGCAGAAACCAAACGATAAATATCACTCCGAATACAAGACACTGTGCAGTGCCAAGTTGTGGAAAAACACAGTCTTTGCATTGCCTTCCTTCTGATCCCAACATTAGGAAAGAGTGGATGAACTTTATTTTTAATGAAGTGCCAGACTGCGGCAGTACGAACTTGGTCCTTTGTTCACTTCATTTTACCATGAATTCATTAACAAACAAGGAACAGTTCGATGCGGGGTTTTCAGAAAGACTAAAACTAAAGGCAATGCTGAGCTGGTTATATCGAAAAACAGGACAGAAAATAGCCTATTACTTCTAAATAGTTTTTTTTTTATGTAAAAATTTTGATAACATTATAAGGGGACCTCAGAGAACAGTGCAAAATAATAAAAAAGGCAGTTCATGACCCCTTTAAAACAAGAACAAATATCTGCCAATAGGATCAGGAAAAATATGCTTGGTTTTCTTTTGAAAATGTAATTTTTCTAACCCCACTGGCAGATATTTGTTTTAATCATAAATTCAATTCATTCTGATGGATTTCTGTGTGTCCACTTCTATTTATTACATACATTTTCTTTACATGGTCTTAAAGTCTTGAATTTGCCTTCACAAATCCTGCAGAAACCCTGCCTTACATCAAACCTACGAGTTTTTTAAATAGCATTTTAAATCACAACTGCAGGTTTACTATTCAGAATTATAAGCATTTATAATTTTCTTTATAACCATTACCTTTTCTCAGAGCTAATCTAATGTTTTCTTATTTCTCTCCCCCTACACATCTGTCTGCAGTGTTCACAAGTCTCGCAGCCATGACTGCCAGTCCACAACTGGGAAAAGAGCCTGAACCTGAGGTACACACACACTCATATACACACACAACCTCTATGTGTATACAGATATATACAGGTGTGTCTGTGTCTTGCAGGTGGAGCAGAAGGCTGCAGCTCCTCTTATTGGGGTGGTGGTGTGTGTAAGCAAGAAATTAAGCAAGAAACAGAGTGAACTCAATGCAGTGGCCGCCTCTTTAGGTGCAGACTTCAGGTATATGCCAAATCTCTCTCATTTTCAGTGAGTCAGTCTAAAAGTAATAATGCCATCTGAGATGTTGGTAGGAAATACAGATTTGTTTTAGCCAAAGTGGTGGAGTTTAATGCATTTTCTCTCTTATAGGTGGTCGTGTGACAACTCTGTCACTCACTACATCTACCAGGGTAAAGTAGGAGACAACAGTAAGGAATACAAAGCTGTCAAAGAGAGAGGACTGCATATAGTGTCACAACACTGGCTACAGGCTGTACGTACGCATCTAAATGCATATCTCACAAAACAGGGTGTCTGTGTAGATTCTGAATGTGTTGATTCTGAATTTACACACAGAAGTTTAAATATGAATGCTTAATATTTTTGTGGAATCTGTGATGCAGTTATTCAGGATTCTTTGATTAATAAGAACAGCATTTACCGCATTTATTTGAAAAACAAATCTTTTGTGACATAATAATGTCTTTACTATCACTAGCTGCGTTTCCATTACCCTTCAAATTGCGCAAATTGCGAATTGAAAATACGCCTAATGGAAACGCATCAATTTCGCAAAAACGCCCATATATCGCAAAAAAGATTTTATGCTCGCATAAGGTGGTTTTTTAAGGCAGCTTGAAAAAGGAATAGGAAACTTTTTTTTCGCATTTACAGGTCACATGGCGTACGTAAAAAAGTCATGATCATTCTTCAATGTACTATAACCTCCAAGAAACACTTCATACTTGGCCGCTCTCAAGTATAAGGGGCTTTCCTTGCCATTACTGGTTAGACAATTTACACTGCACACGTCTGCGGCGCGTTACGGCTCCAACACGGCTACCGGAGCTGATCGCGGCCACTCTAGTCAGTGTTTGTGTTCATATCAGCCGCGCTGCAGCACATTTCAGAAGCGTCCCAGAAGAGGCTTTGATTAAATATAACGGCTAGTGCAGTGGCTGCGATATACATAACCCTACCAAAATCCGTCACCATGACTTATCGCGAAAGGGAAAAAAATTAAGATTTAGTCGCATAACATCGGTTTTTTATCGCTTTTTATCGACATTTATAAAATATTGCTAAAGTTTTGCGCAAATCTGTAATGGAAACACAGCTACTTTTAATCAATCAAGTTAAAAAAAACAACAACTTGTAGTTCATATTATATTTATTATCTGAACATGCAACAAAGATGTGAACTGTTTTATTAGTACATAAAAATTACCTCAAAGCATAGTGAAAAGTTGGGGGTTTAAATCCCATTGTACATTCTATTTTCAGTGTGCAGATGAGCAGAAGCATGTGTCTGAGTCACTCTACCCTTTTACATTCAACCCCAAAATGAGCCTCACCATGAGTCAGGTGGCAGATAGCACTCAGAGGTCACCTCCTCCTTCCACCCCCCGCACCAGACTCAGGGAGTTTACACAGAATGAGGAGACCAGGGTGAGGGATTTTTACCTTGCACTGCACACTACCCATACACTTTAGTCCTATCATATCGAGCTTTTTTTTTTTATATGCTGTAACTTGTAAAATATTTAATTTTGTTTTAAAGCTTAGTCCTGTTGACAGCATCACAGACATCTCAACCCCTCAGCGTGGCAGTGTGGGAGAGCCTGAGAAAGATCAGACCGTCAGCACTGAAAGAAGTGAGTCCTCTTTAAAGACGTGTCTTTGATTCATTTATTAAATCTCTATGTTTGTCCCTGACTGATCTAAAGTCACAATTCACAGCTCGTTTTTTCTCTTCATTCCTTTTTCTTATCTTCTCCCTCCCTCAGATCTCACAGAAACACTTGAGATGAGAGAGAGTCTTCAAAGGCAACTTCAGGAGATCATGTCTGCTACCAAACTGACCAGCGGTCGTCGAGGCTCCTCGCGGTTGGCCAGAACAGGTTCAGGGGGACTAGACTCACCCCACACCCCGGACAGCCTGGGGCGAATGGGAAGACGCAGCCGCACTTTAGAGGCCCTACGGTATAAAAACAAGACTAGCTAGAGTACTCTCTCTGTTCCCATCACTCTCTCAAAGCTTGTAGCATCTAAGAGAATACAGCACAGTTTTTAGTTTTAACTAGGGAATGTAGACACAGGACATGTTCTTGCTTCTGTTTCTGATACATCTTACTCATGTGCATCATATGCTGGTTATCATTAAGCTGTTGCATCACTTTTTCCCATTGTGAAAGGTGTGTTTTTTAAAGATTGCATGATAAAAGATTGTGTTTTGGCAGAATGTCACGTCAAGTAGCTGTGGACCTGAACACAGAGCCGTCTCAGAGTGAGCAGATTGTGTGGGATGACCCTACAGCACGAGAGGAGAGAGCTAAACTGGCTGATAACCTGCAGTGGCCTGGCAGCCCCTCCCAGCACTCTGAAACCATCGTCCCACCGCCCCTCTCTGACCACACAGCCAGGGACTCTATGACTGACTCTGAGCTTGTGGAAATGGGTATGAGAAAAATGCTTTACATTTTTAGAAAATGTAGTTTAGTGCAGATACACTTCTATTCAAAAGTTTAGGTTTGGTAAGAATTTTTTAATGTTATGCTCACCAAGGCTGCATTTATTTGATCAAAAATACAGTAAAAACAGTAATATTGAGGAAATGTTATTGCAATTTACAGAGGTCTATTACTTAAAGAGGTCATATGATGCGATTTCAATTTTTCCTTTCTCTTTGGAGTGTTACAAGCTCTTGGTGCATAAAGAAGATCTGTAAAGTTGCAAAGACTAAAGTCTCAAATCCAAAGAGATATTCTTTATAAAAGTTAAGAGTCAACCACGCCTACCTAAAACGGCTCGTTCTAACACACCCCACATGTCTACGTCACGATGTGAGAAGATTTGCATAACGCCGCCCAAACGTTCACGCTTGAGGTATTCGTCCAATCACAACGCACTGGATAGCTGGCCGATCACAGCACACCTCGCTTTTTCAGACCAATGAGCTTTGTAAAAATCGACGCATTTCAGAAAGGTGGGGCATAGAGGAGAAACAATAATGTACAGTATGTGGAAAATAATGTGTTTTTTTTAACCTTAAACCGCATAAACACATTTCATTACACCAAATACACAAAATAATGTTCTTTTTAGCAACATCATATGACCCCTTTAAATATGGTTTAAAATATAATTTGTAGTTGTAAGGGTAAAGCTGATTTTTCCAACAAATGACAAATAAAATTAGTAGCACTATGCGCTTTTTGTTTTCATAAACATTAAAATATTAAAAATAGTTTTAATGATAATTAAATATGAAATGTTAATACTAACCATTGGGACTTTTTATCATGGTTTATCATACGGTAACCGTTTCATTCCTAAATGCATTCTTTCTGAATAAAAGTATTAATAAAAAATTTTAAAAAACTTGCTTGCCTCAAACTTTTGAACCCTAGTGTAAAGAAGTAAAATCGCATTATAAATGTTCTGATTCAACCCTTCTGACCCTTCCCAGCTGCATTTGAAGTCATCGATGCACAGCTGAAGCCAAAGGTGACCCCACCTCCAGCTGAGACGCTACAGAACCGTGAAACACCTGAAGCACTCACTCTTGCTTTCCCCACCTCTAAACCTGCAGTTCCTTCCCTTCCACAGGTGCACATACCTAGGGCTCTCTCGTTGAAGGATTAGCTGATTTTGAGTGGCTCAATATTGTGATTATGATAACCATATATTTTTTTGCTGTATAAATAAGCTTGTGTGGTTTTATTGATACATATAACTTAGTTCCGATTCTCAAATCTAACTGGACATGAGGCTTTCCAAGAGTGCTTATATTTCACCAGTATCAGCACTAGGGGTGTCCCTGACTAAGGATTTTCATAGTCGAATTGGAATTTTCAAATCTTGCCAATAGTCGAATCATATGTTTGGGGGCGGGGCAAAATACGTTACCAAGAGTCAAGTCAGACATTCGACAGTTATAATTACTGTTAATACACAGGGAAAATGTGTAATGGACGCCTCGCACATAGTTTTGATTAAAAGATTAACATTAAACGTCAGTGAAACCCTAAGAATTCACAACATTTTTTACAATAGTGCTCTCATTATAACGTTATTATATGACAGTGACTAGTTAGGTCTATTAATGTTATGCATTTTTGTTTTGAGCTGCGCGTGCTGAAGATGACCAGTAGAATGAAGCATTTGATATGTTTTTAATCAATGGGATATAACTCATCATTTATCTCATATAGAATACGCTTCGTTATTAATACAACATAACATTAATATTACGACTTATAGGCTATCTGCACAAAATGCCCAGAATGCGAACGTGTCTGCGCGGCTCTGAATGAACTCCTTTTGTGGACGCTTTCTTCACGTAACAACGTGCAGAAACACGGCAACTAAACTCTAAAAATTCACAGCGTTTTATTATAATAGTGTTCTCATTATAATGTTATGTATATGACAGTCCTAGTCCTATGACTGGGACTGTCATATACATAACATTATAATGAGAACATTATACATTATCAAACATTATCAACTTATTAATATTCTGCATTGTTGTTTGTCCTGCTCGTGCTGCGCGCTGAAGAGGTAATCACCATAGTACTACAATGAAGCGCTTTACTGCAGCGCAGAAGCGCTTTCAGCGCAACTCAACCAAATGCATCTTATACGAGATGAATAATATATACACGATATATATAAACCGGCTGAAATGTTTTGAAATCACTTGTACCCTACCTGATCGAAAAAATTCAGTCTTTCACTCTGTCTGTGTCAGTTTGAGTCTTGTTAAAGTTTTAAATCCCTGCTGCCAAAACGCTCCTCTGTAGGTTACGGATTATGGAAAGTGAAACTTAAATCTATAGGGGTGATTGGATTTATTCACACGTTAAAAATATTTATTTAAAACTTCTTTCTTTTCAGATTCTTATTTACAGCATTATCATAATAGGCTGTATATTAACTTATTGGGAGAAAACCGGTAGTTCTATGTGAAATCAGACATTGAGCACCCCCATATAGCCAAAATGGCATGATCACCCGTGAATATTCGACTGTGAGATTGGTAGTCGAATCAGGCTCCTCCTATCGAAGCATCAAATCTTCGACTATTCGGGGTCACCCCTAATCAGCACTGGGTCTCTGCATGTTGTAAACAGGCTGTCAGTCAGTGCAAGTTACATTATTCAAGTAGGTGGCAGCAAGTGGCTACCTTTAGGAGTGAGTCATTAAACCATTAATTCAACTAATATTTTAAAAATGCTAATTCATTCATGAATGAAACAAAGTGTTGATATTAATTGAACTTTACATGAACAGCAGTTATAATTCATTTTATTCAAATTTGATCTAACTGGATCTATCCTAAACAGATTGAAGATAAGGAGGAGGTCAAGGATCCTCCACGATTCTTGCTGTCTTCATTGAACCCACAGGAACGCATCGACTACAGTCATCTCATAGAGGAGCTAGGTTAGTACACAAAGCAACCTAGTGCCTCCTAGGGCTGTCCCAAAAAAATTTGAATTTCGAATATTCGTCGAATTTAAAATAAAAATCCACATTCGAATGCAAAAATGTTGCATTCGAATTTTAGGTGTGCTTCAGGCAGCCTTATCAGTGGCGCACGAAATACGACGACGATGTAAGTGTCATTGCATTTTAATGTTTTTGTTAGTCTATCCAGTTGAACCCACTAGATGCGCCGCTGCTACGTTGTTCATTCAAAATATTGCGGGAAAAAAGAACATCAATGCGGAGATGATGTTGTTTACGTCAAAACCGAAACCAAACCGTTCACACAGAACGCATATTTATCACATTTTCTAGAGGGACATCTATCACCGTTGCACTCGCATCTCGCACAAGAGAGCCGCATGTTTAGAAAGCCATGGAAAATTAATGTAAGTTCAACTTTTTAAAAACATGTCTCAAGACTTTATGGCGGTTTTTCCCCATCTGCATCTTAAGTTTTTAAATGAAGAAAGTACTCTTTTGGCGCTTTTCCACTGCGTAGCACGGCACGGCTCAGTACGGTACGGCTCGGCACGGCTTGGGTTGTATTTCCACTGCAGTTCAGTACCGCTTTAGAGTGGGCGGGATTATTCACATGTCGTTAGTTGCGCCGCCTCTACTGCCGCAACTCCTGAAAAACTTTTTCATTCCGCGTCGCCCCATCAAGCTCTCGCTGGATCCGCTCCTCTGCTATCAACGAGAGGAACGTCTGTACTTCCTCAACAGACAACGAAACATAATGTGTTTTTTGAACATTAAAGCATGTCAACATATTCTGTTACACCAAATACACAAAATAATGATCTTTAAAAAAGCATCATATGACCCCTTTAAACTATACATACATGCATGATTCTGTTTGGTTTATAATTGTTTAAGCAACTTTAATTATATAAGGTTTATGAACTTTATTTTAAACATTATGCACTTTTTTCAAAGATAGTAGTGTTATTTTATTATGCTTTGAAGAAACGTGCATAATATTTTGTTCGATGCGCCCTCTTGTGGCCTCAGGAGAGAAGCCAAAAGCTTTTTTCCCCCCTAAATGAAACTATGCCTTTTAAATTCGAATATAATTCGAATATTGATCATATTTAAGTACAAAATTCGAATTTCACTTTTCAGCCATTTTGACAGCCCTAGTGCCTCCCATTTCTTGTACTTTTTATGGTGTCTGTCAGTGTACCTGACTGCACTGAATTTAATTTAGGGATGTGTAAAACTACATATTTTCAAAATCAACTAATTAGCTAATCGGTCTTATGGACTATCTATAAAGTTAAGCATGTTGTCAGATTCCAGTCAGACACGTATTGTTCTGAGCTTTTACATAATGCTTGTTCAAAAATAGCTACATAGCATAGAGCAATAGCAAGTAGCATAGAGCATAATGGAATAGAACAAAATGCAGGGGCCCTGAGATTAAAAGATCACAGTTTTTAAAAATTTGCTTTTGTGGTAGAAAGCCTAAAAAACTGCACAAAGCAGCACAATGGTCAAAGACAATCATCATAATTTGAAATTATTTTTCACCATCTTACCATGAAAGCGGTCATTAGCATGTTAATTAAAGCACTGTGCTAAAAGTATAAAACGAAAAATGTGTGTGTGTGTGTGTGTGTGTGTGTATTCAAACGTGAACGGTAAAAAGTGAGCAATATTACATTGAAAATAAAAATGAATTAAAAAAATGTCTTCTCTACCGTCTGCGGTCCGCCATCAGGAGATGTTATGTGACACACTCCCCCCTCCTCCCCCACTTTTTCCGCTTTTTTTTCACTCCTGATGAGTTTGTATCCTTCCATGCACAAGCTAGTGAATGGGCTTTTGGTCACTGACTTGCAGAAAGTTTTCTGCAGGAGTTAATGTTATAGGGGCTACATTAATGAGGGAAAAAAATTAACTTAAATGATTGTAGCAAATGGCTGCAATATAACAAAGAGTGAAAAATTTAAGGGGGTCTGAATACTTTCCGTACCCACTGTATATAATATATGTGTGTATAATTGTGTGTATGTATGTATTATATGATATGTTACACACTGCTGTTCATAATTTCCAGGTCAGTAAGATATTTTTTTAAGAAATTATTACTTTTGAGCAAGGACACATTAAAATGATCAAAAGTGACAGAAAAGACATTTATTATGTTACAAAAGATTTATCTTTAATATAAATGCTATTCTTTCTGAACTTTGTTCATCTAAGTTTCTGCAAATTTACCATTATACATTGCTAATAAATGTAAACATTGATAATAATAATAAGAAATGCAGCAAATCATCATATTAGAATGATTTCAAAAGCATCACAAGACTGAAGTAATGGCTAAAAGTTCAGTTTTGCCGTCAGAGGAATAAATTACATTTGAAAATATATTAAAATAGAAAACAATTCTTGTTTTACTCTGTATTTTTACTATATTCAGTTGTTGTATTCCATACCTAAATGTTCTCTATTTGATGCGTCATGAATGTGTACATGTGCAGGTGGTGTTGTGCTGGAGAAACAGAGTTTTGATCCCAGCTGCACTCATGTGATTGTTGGTTATCCTCTGAGGAATGAGAAGTATCTGGCCGCTATGGCAGCGGGCAAGTGGATTCTTCATCGCTCGTATCTGGAGGCCTGTCGTGCAGAAGGACACTTCATAGAGGTATGTGTCTGCATTTGTGATTAGTGTCTTTCAGTGATAAAATAAAGCAATAAGCCCTGTGAAGCCGTGGTTTACAGTGAATTTATAACAGCTAAGGGGCGTTGTTGGTCGTGCCTACAACCCCCTTAGCTGTTATAAATTCACTGTAAACCACGGCTTCACGGGGCTTATTGCTTTTATAAAACCATTATTCCATATACGTAGTAAGGTTTCACAAAATAAAACAAAGCAAATAAAGTGTAATGATATTAATAAAAACATTATACTTCCTCCAAACAATGTAGTTCCTCAGAAACGGTTGTGGTTCCAACAAAGTGGTTGCCGAGCAACACACAAATGTAAACAAAGGTGTATGTTTGTAGAGTAATTTACAACAGCTTCGAACTTGGCTCAACCAATAAGAATCAAGGACCGGAACTATCCGTTTTATAAGATGATGTTGTTCATATCCTGTATGTGTATTAGGAGGAGCAGTACGAGTGGGGCAGCAGCTCTATCCTGGACGCTCTGCCATCCATCAACTCTCAGCAGAAGAGACTGGCACTGGCAGCCATGCGATGGAGGAAAACACTACAAGGCAGCTCAAACAAGGAGGTACACATATATATGTTTTCCTTGGATGAGCATGCAAGTACATGGTGCAGCACCTAATGCTTTTGACATGCAGGGTGCGTTTGGGGGCTGGACGGTGATGCTGAATATTGACCAGGCCAGAGAGGCTGGATTCAGACGGCTGCTGCAGTCTGGGGCAGCCAAGGTCTGTTGTTTTTGTCTTTTCTTCTCTTTTGATTCCACACCGAATCCATAAATAACATTGGATTCCTGTGACCTTACAGGCAGTGATTTCCGTTTTCCCCTGCTTCCTTTCTGTGTTGTTACTCTGTCTTGTATTTAACCCTCTCTGCCCTTGTATAGGTGTTGCCAGACCCTTCTCCTTCGCTGTTTAAAGAGACCACTCACCTGTTTGTGGATTTTAGTCGGTTAAAACCAGGTGACGGCAGAGTGGATGTCAGTGAAGCTGCAGCTCAGGGGGTCAAATGTCTAAAACCAGAGTACATTGCTGATTACCTCATGCTGGTGAGAGCTGATGATGACACCTGACTAGGGCAGCACATTTTGGGGGATTTTTATTTATTTATTTATTTTCCAGCTTCTGTTTTGCTGTGCTTGTTTATAGGGCTGCACAATTTGGCCAAAATTGTGTAATTAGATATCAATATGACTATAAAAAATAATCTTCATTAAAACTAATTTATTTTACAGTAAAAAATATTATTTATTTTAAGCAAATATTATTTTAAATATTAAACAAACAAAAAAATAGTTGCAAGCAGCAGTTATCGGGGTCCAAGTACAAACAGCTCATTTAGACAGTATAGTTAATCAGAGGCCATGTGTCTTTTCAAATATAATACGATATACAGTAGTCAACATTTGAAGTGGATCAAAAAAGTTCAAAGTTGTCCTAAGACAAGAACGCAGTCTTTAAGTCTCTCTGTATGGAAGTTGTATTCTGTTACTGCATTACAATAGACAAATAATATTATTTCCTCATTTTATTTGGACAGCAATACATTAGTTATGTCTGGCAACTTGACAAATGTTTTCATGTGTATCATTAGAATATATAAAAAATAAATGAATCACAGATTTCCTTGCAAACTGATTAGACTTAGGTAAGATTAGACTTTAAACTTTATGAAACTATAATGAATTTTAAGTCAATCTATTAAACAGTTTACACAGATTTTAACTGAGACCTAAAAGGATCTGTTATCTTTTTGCCAGCATTGTCTAAAGCTGCTTTGCAAACAGTGTAGTGAAGAGTGGATGAACAGCCTTTTTTAAGTCCTAAGAGGACTTAAAAAAAAAAAAAAAAAA